TTTGACTGTTAACTGTGTGTCCCAATGAGATGGGGAATTTTTTTGTTCTGTTTTTGAGACAACAGTCTTGCTCTATAGCCCAGACTAGCCTCAGTGCTGGACACATGGTATACACTACCATGCCGCCCGGCATGGGGAGTTTTATCATCAACTGCCTCTCCCTATCCACCCTTGCCTGGTGTCTAGGACAGAGAAGACAGCCGTGACTGTGTAAGTAACAGCACCCAAGGTCTCTATACAGCAGCACTGTTATTAATCCCAGCTCTTCCCAGTTGGTACTTTGTATTATTCCACGTGGCCTCTCACCATGTCATTTGCCTAGTTCTATTCCTTCCTCACAGGCTCCCCACAGTCTTCTCATTTCTTACCTGGCCTGTACAGGAGTGAAACATATTTCTAACCTTTGCACATTTCAAAGAGCAGCTGTCCAACTCCTTCCACCTTTTCTGGATGTTCATTAAGATCAAGAAACATTAAATTGAAAAAGTGCAACGTAAAATGGAAATGGAAAAGTACTTTACAATGTAAACAGGCCCAAATAAGAAATTTTATCTATCTCTTCTATTATTATATTTATTTAATACATACATACAGGAAAAAAAAAAACTCCAAAAGACATTTGTAATGATCTCAAACTACTAGAATTCCTTGTAATGTCAAGTTAAGAGTGATGAGTTCACTAGTATGACAGAAGGGTATGTACCAAAAAACTACTTAAAGCAACATTCTAGCTTTTACAGTAAATCATATATTTGTATTTTATGATAATAAAAGAAATTTAGTATCAATGTGTTTTATTACAAAAACTTTCTAAAATTTTCTAAGTAAATTTTAGACAAACTTGTATGCACATGTGAATAAAAGAGTAAAAAAAATGTTTAGACAAACAGATGACATCAGCTCCTTCCAGAAAACTGTTACAAAAAGTACTACTGTTCATCTCACTAGTATTGTAAATACTGGCTTGAATTACAAGACGCTTTTTTTTTCTTTTGGCAATACTGAGGTTTGTACTCAGGGCCTTACACTTGCCAGGCAGGTACTCTAGCACTTGAGTCATGTCCTAGCCCTTTTTACTTTTAGTTGTTTTGCAGACAGGTCTTGGGGGCCAGACTCAGACTGTGATCCTTCTATATGTTTCCTGCATAGCTGAGGTCACAGGAGTGCACCACCATTCCTGGCTTGTTGGTTAAGATGTGATCTCGCTAATTTTTGCCCAGTCTGGCCTAGAACTGTGATCTTCAAGATCTTCCTACAGAGCACTTTTGATAAACACACACTGAAAACTACCAAAAATCCAAGTAAGAATGATTCAAATTATTTCAACATTAATTAGTGAGCAAAACTAAACATTATGGTAAGATAAAATAGTAATAAGCTTCTTATATATTTTAAAAATTAGTTCATAATTATCAGATTTAAAAGACATATCTGCTCTACTCATCTGATTGATTTACTACTAGCAATAAACATAAAAAGTATCAAACTAACCTTTCTCATCAAAAAAGTAAAGCTTTCAGCAGCAAAATTTCTTATATGTAGTTTTTTATGAGCCAAGAGTGTACTGTACAGGCTATAAACGGGAAAATAAAACAGTTTAGTTACAGATATAACTTTAATAAAGATGTATTTAGTAAATACAGTGTTTCATAATGTATATCACACTGTTATAGGTATACAAAGAATATGTAGCAAGTGTAACACAATGCAGTTTAACACTTATCTCATTTGGTTACTGGGACACTTGCTGTCAAACAAGACTGAAGGCCACAAACATTAGGATTCCTAGAATAGGTGGTACAGGTCCCATGACAAAGACTACACAAAATGCTGAAACTGGTAGTGAGCTCTGTATGACAGGAAGAATCCAGGTGGAGACTGGAGTGCATATTATTAAGATAAACACCAGCACAAACCAAAAAAATGAGAGATAAATAGGAGAACAGAGGTGGGGCAGATATGACCATGGTCAAAAAATAAATAACAAGGAGGCTGGTCTGTCTCAACAAGGAAGGAAATATGGTTGAGGGGGTTGGCTACACATAAGTTTCCCAGGTAAAAACCTAGCTCTGAACACCAAGAAGAGGGATTCAAGCTTTAGCCTACACCTGTACAAGTACTTCCTCTGTGTTACTTCATTTAATTGACATGAGAACTCTATGGGACAGATATCTTGATTCTGCAGATAACAAAACTGAGGCAGAAAGACTAAACAACCTGCTCAAGGTCATACAGCCATGCAACCATAACCACTTACATAATCACATTGTTAAGCTGGTTTCCTTAATGATAGAAGAGCACAGAATATGGCTCTATTTTTACCATATCCCAAGTATCTAACACTTCCTTTCTCCCTGCAGTTACTAAAAATATTGGCCGAATAACAAATAAATACTTTCAGAAAGATTAATTTGGTAGCAATGAACAGGATGAAATAAAGAAGAAGCTGGCAATACACTTAGAAAGAGTAGCAAGGCATGAAAAAGGCCAGTAGTAGAGGAAAATGGCAAAGGAGAGACTAGGAGTCCCTGCAGTAGAGCCAAAGACCTTACAGTGGTGCACTAGCCCCTTTATGATCTGTTCTCTCCACTACTACTACTTCTGTGTCATCCATCACAAGATTACTGTCATCCCTTGAATATACCAAGTATGTACTCAAGATGCTTCTCCTCTCAGAAAAATGTAAACTTTGTGAAAAAAGGGGCTTTTATGTCTTATTTGTGATTGTATCTAAAGGCACTGTATCTACATGCCGGACATGTAGACAGCTTTCAATGAAGGTTCACTGAGTGTGTGTATGAATGACAGAATCAAGAGAATTTCAGTACTTAAAGATAACTGGGTCAAAGATGTTTCCAAGATGCCAAGACGGAAGAACATATGGTATCACTGCTACCAAATGGATCCTGGCAAATAGTAGGCATGTTTTTATTGAACACGTGAATGAATGAAAAGGTTAAGAATTGGTCTGAAGAGAAATGCATTAAGTTTGGTTTCAATAATCCTCAGGTGAAAATATCCAGAGTGTTGAAAATGTTATACACTGAGAGCAAATAAATTTAGATCCAAAGAACCTGACTTAGAAGACATAAAAGTGACAGCTTGTATGACAGCTGAGGACATAAAATCCAATAAAGTATATCCCCCTAAGACCTTGTTGGTTGTTTAACGAAATAATCTTGGTTTCTAACACATTTTACCAAAAGCTTCACAGAGAACTAGTAAAGGCTGAAAAGATAGTTCTTTTTTTTGTTCAAAGTTCCTAAAAGAGAAGGGTGGGTAGGGTGAAGGAAGAAGCACAAAAACAAATTCACTATGCTATCCTATAACCACACCTTCTACTGTGTGTGTGTGTGTGTGTGTGTGTGTGTGTGTGTGTGTGTGTGTAAAGGGCATTAAAGATCTCTGATCTTAAATGTTCCTTACAACAATTACAGTATACAGAACTAATCAGAAAACTAAATGGAAAATCCATTAAATCTCAGATTTAAACAGATAATAATGTTTCCTTTAACAGAAAACAACTATAGAATTCATTCTCCTTTCCTATCCCTGCGTTCTAAAAAATTCTGGGTTTCTCTTTTGACTTGGTAAGCATGTTAGCAGCCAGGGAAACACAAGTGTTTAAGATAGGGTTCTTAAAGAGTTCAACAAGTTCATAGAGGACAGAATTAAATTACAAACAATTATAATAAAGATTGTATAATGTAAGTTATTTAAAAAAAAAAATCAGAAATGCAGAATATAAAGCTTTCACTTCTGGTTAAGGTGTCCAGGAATTATTCATGGGCGTTATGAAATCCAAGTCAGGCTTTGATGGGTGGGTAAAATTTCAATAGCTGGAGATGAGGGAAGGTTAGGTCAATATAAACTTTAAACATGTTCAGTACACATTGGTAGACTAGATCTATCCATCTTTGACTGGCAAATCAACTTTGTGTAAGGAAACAGATAGGCACTGCACTGGAAAGCTTGGAGTCAGACAGAGGCCAGGGAAAGGCAAATTAAAAAACACATTGGGGAGAAGAAAAGGGTCACCTGTATATATTGGACATGTCCTTCACCATCAGTCTCCATAGGTACTTGTAAAGATAAGACAGCGAGGTGAAAGCCCATTCTAACAACTCGGTGTCCTGAGTCTCCAAGATGGAGGTGATAGTCAGGAAAAAATCTTGAAAGTGTGGATAGAAATCCATCTGCAGATCTCGTGCCAACTGTACAACCAAACTGGATTAAAAAAAGAAGCAACTGATTATATAGATTAAAAGAAAGGCTATAAGTCTATTTAATTATAGTAAATGGATTATGATCATTGGATTAAACTAAAATACTTCTAAATCAAGTCTTCCAAGATATAAAATTTTTCAAATCTTAAAAGCTGAGCAAAAAATCAAGCCAGAAGGTTCATTCCTTCAAAGGCTGTGGTCACCTGCTCCTGCAGCGTCAAAGAAAAATGGAGTTCTTTCGAGAGTGTATAACAAGTGCAAAATTTTAACCTCAGATTCTGCTTTATGGTAATGTCCCTTTTCCTAATATGACCTAACAGAAAAGGTAAACTTCCGCTGTTTCTAAATTACAAAAGTCTAGACTAAAATAAAGCATATGCAGCTACAAAAAACAGCCTTTCAAAAACTCAGATAAACTCCATCAAGGTTTCTTTCAAGATCTACTTACTCCAAAAGGGGTTGGTAAGCAAAACTGTTCCTAATTTGCAAGTGAGTCTTCAAACTCTGAACTATCTCATTTTGATGATAAACCAACTGATTGAACGATTGGCATTTGTCAATAACTTCTTTGTAAAATTTCCCTGGGTGAAAAAAAAATAAAAGAAAGGATTATGTTCTGTTTTTCCAACACATCACTATTTAGTTGTTTGAAACATGTAAAGTACAAATTATGGGAGAATGAAAGCCAAACAAAATGGAAAATACCAAAGTGCTCCGTAAGGTTCAATTCTCTCCACTTCAGCAGACCCTCAAAGAAGTAGGTTTCAACCTCCTGGCAAGAAGAAAGCAATCCATTAATCAGACAATTCCAAGAAAGATATCAATAATAATATATTGATATCTTTATGATCAAGATTTAAAAAACTTCTTTTGGCTTTTTTTTGAAAACCAAAACTATGTTTTAATTAACATACTTAAAAGCTGGATGTATAACATCAACAGATGATTTATAAAAATCATGGTTTGTTGATTTGGTTGCAGCAAACAACTCTAAAGCCCATATAATAGTCATACTAAGGAAAATTTTCTTTTTATGTTTTTTGCAAGTTTAGGCATAGAAAATATGTTAATTCTTTTCAGTTCTTTCATAATGTTTTTGAAAATATTAACTGCTACAACCTTATGGGGAAGTAATCTGTAATTTATTAAAATTAAAAATAGGTATTCCCTTTGATCCAGCAATTTCACTTTTTGAGATTTATCTTACAAGTCTGCAAAAAGATGTTATTCAGAGGGGGGAATCAAGATAACTTAAAAACTCAAAAAAAGGAAAACAGTTGGAATAACTTATAGTCTATATTTGGAAAGGCATATTCTGTGGGTAAAATTTTAAAAGAATTCCATTAAGGCCAGGGAGTAGCTCAGAGGTAATGTCATCCTTCCTCTATAAAAAGAAAGGGGCTAGACTATATAATTCTCCAATTGCAATCATATTCAACAGTCATTCTTCTATGCAGAAATCTTTTCCTTTTTGCTGCACAGAGAGAAAGAGTTGGAATGTGATTTCAATTGGAAAAACCATACAGTCTAGCCCCTTTCCTTTTTCTGGAGAAGCAATAACACTGAGATATGAAAGAGTTAGAATGTGCTTAGAATGAGAAAATCATGTTATCTAGCCCCTTTCTTTTTATAGAGGAAGAAGCCTAACCTCAGGAAGTGATTTCATCAAAATCACTTTAAGTCATAGAACATGATGTGCAGCAGTTCTTGCAATGTACATGGGAAAGGGAGCGGCTCCAGTCATAAAAGCCAGCTGATTATCAAGTCAAGTCAATTGTTCAACACAGCATCACCTAATAGAACTTTCTGCAAGGATGGAAATGGGCCATATCTGCACTTATCTATATGGTACCAACTAGTTGCATATGGCTATTGAGCATATTATTATTATCATCATTATTATTGTTGGTGGTGGTACTGGGGTTTGAACGCAGGGCTTGCACTTACCTAGCTCTTACTGAGCACTTTAAATTAAATTAAAAATTCATTTGCCATATGTGGCTTCTGTATTAGACAACACAGGTCTAATGAAATGCATGTTCATGAAAGAATGGTTTGAAAAAAATTCATTTCTATTAACAGAAAAAAAAACTAAAAAGAAGACTGTGAATATCTGAAAATTGGCTAATATTCTCTTACCTCATCATAGCTTGCAGTTCTATCAATACGATGAATAATGTCGATATTCACATTCCCTAGTCGTTCAGCAAATGTAAGAAACTGGGAAAGAAAGCATATGTAAGATACATTAACACATCCTGAATTATAATTGATAATAATAATATGTGGGCAATTTCTCTGCCAAAGTAGAAAGGGTAAAGCTTCAGTAAACCTCCTTACACACTATCATTACAAATAAAGGCATGCGTTGTCATTTCGGACTTTAGTTTTCTATCAACAGTAAAATGTGTAACTGAGTTTTTAAACTAAAAACTGGCATTACTAAAAAAAAAAAAAAAAAAAAAAAAAAAAAAAAAGAACTCAAAGGCATAGGGCCTTAAACAAATGCCCTGGTTCTACTCGGAGATAGTGAATACTTCTGTATGCCCACGTTAAGTTCTTTCAGCTATGTCATTTCACATAAAGAATTCCACGCAGAGCCAGTGAACCGAGGTGAACGCTGACGATTAAACTTTCCGCTGTATCTATCAGGTTTCTTACCATGCCCCAGCACAGAGATCTGTGCGATAAGGCCCTGGAAAGAAACTGTCAAGGGCACAGAAAGTACCACAGCAACCATCAGCTGGAAGTCACTCACCTCCCTCTGCCATCCTGCCCCCCACCCAGTTCAATCTTTAAAGATAAGAAAGCAGGGGAGATTCGGTCATAGGCAATCTTCCCAGCTACTGACTTTAACTTTAGACTGTAGGGAATTCCCAAAAGGCACCAGATCTGACAAACCAGAGGCAAAATCTAATCAATGACCAAACTTGATTACTTCCTCGCTCCATGTTTACTACACCCGGACAATTCACCACTTTCGACAAAATCTCTAAGCAACTGAGTCGCACTCGGGCCGAGACTCTACAGCCGCAGGAGCCCCGCTGTCAGCCAGTGTCCCGGCAGAGGCGGAAGGGACCCCCGGCTCGGCCCGAGCTCCCGCGCTTACCCGGTAGGTGTTCTCGGTCTTGTGGGAAACGGGCTTGGGCTTCATGGGTGCGGAGAGGTAGAGGCCCGCAAGGGCCTCGAGGAGGACTGAGAGGATGCAACAGAAGGCAGGGAAGACAACGTGGTTCACAAGCCGGAGTCTCGGATGCCCAGGTGCCCAGCCTTTCTCACGTGCGGCCAAAGCCCCTGGGTGCCGCCATGCTGCAGAAGGGGTGGGGCCTGGGTTTGTCACATGGGCGGAAGACGAGGACGGAGCAGGCGCACTCTCCGGGCAGCCTCAGGGGGCGGGGCGACGCGGGGGCGGGGCGACGCGGGGACGGGCGACGCGGGGGCGGGGCGACGCGGGTTGCGGTATCGCGGGCGCGCGTTTCCTTACTTTCCTTTGAAAAAGAGCGGAAGATGTTTTCATTATAAAACATGCTTGTCATCTTTATCACCTACCATTAACTGTCCCTCACTGTGTGACTGCGCTGTGCAAAAGCTCTTTCTATCCATACTTGCACAGAAGAGCTCATTCTGAACGCTAAATATGAAAGAGGTACAGAGGTTTGAAACCTCTTTGCTACACGAGAAAATCAAGGTTGTGCAACCAGTACGTGGCAATCGCACTCAGACACCAAATTCTGAGGCCATTCATGACTCCCAACTTGGGGGTTTTGGTTTGTTTGGGGGTGTTTTGTTGTTTTGTTTGTTGTTTGGCGGTTCTGAAGCTCAAACCTACTTCTTCACAGATGAGCTAAATTCCCAGCTCCTAATTCTAATCACTATGCTCTAAATGAATTTGAAAAACAGAAGAGGAGTTTTAAAGAGTGATCTTTTAATTTCATGCACAGTCACTCTCTTTGGTGTTTTCCTAACACTTTAATATCTACGAATAGCATGTTGTTAAGCATAATTGTTCAGTACATGTAAATATAATTTTTAAAAATTATTTTTAATGTATTTTCCCCCACCTAACATTCATTTGTTCACTTATTTCTTAAAAAGTCTACTATGGCCAGACATTACTGTGGCAGCTGAACAAGAAAAATAGTGGTAGTATTAATAATACTTGGAAATATTTAGTCTGAAGCACTTAAATCTTAAGTGTCAACAGAGGACGTTAAGTACATAATTACTATGGAGAGCCCAATGTGGAGTTAGAGCTGGAGGTGTGACTTAAATGCCCCAAGCATGAGGTATTGGTAACTGGAGAGGAAAATCAGTGAGGAAAAATGGACTAATCACTGCATGGAAGCAGAGCCAGTGGCCAACTATCCTGAATGGAGTTAGAGAAGTAGCTGTTGGATCTAACAAAGTGAAGGGCACTGACGAGCTTGACAAGCACAGTCCAGTGTGAAGGAAAGGAAACACAATGTAGATAGAATCAGAGGTGAGGAAGTAGATGTAAAACTTTCAAATTGTTATTTCATTACAGCATCAACAGTTTCTATCTCATCACAAGGTTATAATAAATAATTTAGTGACTCCATAGTAGTTAGCTAGTTAGTTAGTTAGTCAGTTGGACCATCTCCTCAGGAAGATGTCAGTCAGCTCATTTACACTAAACTGTGTAGATGACTCCAGAGAGCGAGAAGTCTGCAGATTGCTAAGGGCAGGCGTTCCTTCTCTAAGCAGGTTTCCCAATCTATTGCCAAAATCACTGTCAAGTCATTGTGCTAGTTTCTTTCTTTGTTGTTTTGGTAATGGAGTTAACAGTACAAAAGAGTCAAAGGAACTAAAAGAAAAACAAATTTATCGCTTCTCAGCCTTATGGCTAAGATCAAGTGTAGTATCTGTTCTTATCAGTTTAAGATCTGATCCGTCCTCTATCCGAGGATAATGTATTAAATGGATTTTGGGACAGGGAGATGGAATAGGAGCTTGGTCCGTCCACTCCACACATGGACCTGGTATTGCAGTACACCAAAAAAAAAAAAAAAAAAAGAAAGAAAACCACATTTTATGTTGAACATGTGTTTTGTGTTACTACTTGTTATATGAGCCTCAGACTTTGACTTAATTGCAGTTGGTTGGACAACACAACAATAGAACAAGGATGCTGTAATTAGATTGTCTGGGTTTGAGTCCTTTTTCTGCCATTTATTACCCCTGTGACCTTGAGTAACCTACATACCCTCTCTTGTGTGTAGATGGGGAGAATACAAATATCTTCCTCAGTACTGGTTATGCAGAGTAAATAAACTAATGGATGAAAGGTGTTTAGAACAGTGCCAGGCACCAAAACTGCATAACCTTTGACAAATCAACTAATTTTTCTGAGATCCAACTTCCCTGTCTCTGAAATGGAGGTGATAAAACCTCCATTTCTAGTTCAGCTATTGCTGCATAGAGCATAGGATAAATGTTTACTGACTGAATGAATAAATGACCATTTATCCTCCACTACCTAGCTGCCTAACAAGTTCCTTACGGGCGGACACTATGTCCCTTGAACTTAAAAGTTGTTTAGTGAATGTTTGTTGAATTAACAAACATACAATATTTATTTAACCCTCACAAGTTTAGGAGTAAGATAACTCATGAATTGAATGTGAGTTTTTTTGCCTTCTGTGCCAAGGCCTTGAATACTCCATATTATCTTTTATTTCCTTATTCCATTATGGCCCTGCCTACCTCATCCATTCCAGTCAGGAAACTTATACGCACAATTCCCACATTCTTCTTCAGCTTTATCAGAGACTTCTAGAAGTTTTGCTTTTCAGTCTCTGCTTCCTTATTGCCTAGCACACTGCAATTTCAAGACCAGGGGACTTTAAGAGCACATGAGGAGTTTATTTTGCCTAGATATAGAAGTGGAATCCAGAGAAGATTTCTGGGTAGAGTTGAGGCCTGTGCACAACTGGTGTTGTCTGGATAGAGGGAGCAGTATATGCAAAAGATCAAAATGGTTGAGACAAATGTTTTTTAGTTCCTAAATCAGAGCCACACTGTATTACTTTTGGTGTCATCCTAAGCATTCTTGATTAATGAAAAGGAAAGAATAAGGGTCAGGGGAAAACTCAGAGGTGGCAAGCGCCTGGTTCTTTATCTGTAAAGTAGAGGCAACAGTTATGTGAGGCTGCAGGCACTTCAGTTTTCAACCCCTGTATTAGACTGTTCTGCAGGTGAAAGGTTGTATTTTTGATTTTTGTTCATTTGATTTTTGAAATAGGGTCCTGAACTATAGCCCAGGATGCTCTTGAAGTCAAGATCCTCCTGCCTCATCCTTCTGAGTGCTGGCATTACAGACATGTACCACCATACCCAGTATTTCTCTTTGGTTTTAAACATGCCTCTCACAGGTAGCCAAAGCATTTATTATTTAATACAGAAGGTGATTCATCTTTAATAGATAAGTTGATGCGGTTTTTCAGCAGGCATTAAAATATTTGTAACGCCTTCACCATACCCTGAAACACAGATGAGTGCGCACGCACTCACAACGCTGCTCTCTTCATCCAGCTTGTTTGCCTTCCTAACTTTCACTCACCCTTCTGTCATGAACTTTAAATTCATTTTTGTTTTGTTTTGCAGTACTGGGGATTGAATCCAGAGCCTCACCCTTGCAAGACAAGAACTCTTTCACTTGAGCTATGCTCCCAGGTTTTTTTTTTTTTCTCTTTTTTGAGGTAGAGTCTCCCAAACTTTGTCCAGGTTGGCCTCAAACTTGCAATGCTCCTCTGCCTCCTGAATAGCTGGGATCACAGGCATTTACCACCTGGCTCAAATTCCTTATTTAAAAAAAAGGTGTCAGAAAATAAATAAAGGAACCTACTTTTAGAACAGTTTAAATATTGGCTTGTTTTTACCTACTCATTTTCATGACTTCTCTATTTCTATCATTAATTAAACTGCAGATGTCTTCTGTAGGAAGGACAAAGTTCTCACAGTTGGGATTTATTGCTTCTTCTTCATATACCCACCTTTCTCTTGGCTTCATTTTGTTTTAATTGCCTCTGTGTAATTGCTTCATTGAACAAGAGGCATCATAGGACATTGGAGTTTGGGCTCTGCTGCCAGGCCTCCCCCCTCCACTTGCTCTGCCACCACTGTCTGAGCTTCAGTTTACTCATTTAAAGTAGGGAGAATGCCAGTGCCCCATGGGGCTATCCTGAAGAATCAGTGACCTAATGCCTCGGTTCTCAATGTGTGGTCCCTGACCAGCAGCATCAGCACCACATGGGAAAGACAAATTATCAGCCCTCACCTCAAACCTACCAAATTAGGAACTCTACGGACAGGGGCAGCCATCTGTGCTTTCCCAAGCTTTCCAGGTGATGCTGATACAAGTTCCACTTTGGGAATCGCTGACTTAATGATGCCGACACACTTAGGACATTGTCTCACACAAACTATGTGCTATAGAAAGTGTTTACTGCTGTGACTATTCAGTCTTTAAATAAGCATTTGCTGTCACCACTGTTTAACTCTCCTCTGCATCTCTGCATGTGAGGGATCTGAGGTCTAGAAAATGGCTAAATGGTGGAGAGATTTATGTCTGAGGTGTCTAGCTTCAAGTTCAGTGCTTTTTTCATGACCCTCAAATCATAAGAGTGTGAACTAAGAGGGGCAGACTGAGAGAAATAAATGCTTGCCCATTGTGGTAGACAGTTGTGCATTCCTTACAGCATTTATATTATCAGAAAAATGCTATCCTGATATTCTTTAAATGAATCACCTTTCTCTCACCCTTAGTGGTTACAATTTGGATTAGTTATCAGGGAGGGCTGGTGTCCTTGACTCTATTTCCTTGGCCAAGTAGCTGTTTCAGAGATGAGGATGTGCCCAAGCTGGGCCAAGAGCCATACTGGAAGTTTACTAAAGCAATAGAGAAAGATGTGCTTTTTTTTTTTTTAATTAACCAAGATGATAGGAGTCTGAAGCTGTTAGTGGCCATAATTATCACCTATGCAAAAGAACAAGGTGAGGAGGGGGAGGAGGGGCAGGGGGTATGAGGGAGAGGTGGCCCAAACAATATATACACATATGAATAAATGTATAAACAATAAAAAAAGAACATGGGGAGAGGAGGAGGGTCAGGAGGAGGAGGAGGAAGAGGAGAGAGAGAGAGAGAGAGAGAGAGAGAGAGAGAGACAGAATGAGGATTATTGATAAGCTGATTTGAGTCACTGAATCCATCCAGACCTTGGACTTTTCAGTTCATTAATTCCATCTTTTGTACTTTAGCCAATTTCAGTCAAGTGAATAAGAATCCGAAGGTAAAATGCAAAATCTTGATGACAGCAGTCAATGTGAAGGATTGGAAAAAATATCAGACCAAGGGTGGGAAAACCTACATGTGGATCCTAGGAGGTTCACTCAGGTGGGTGACTTTGTGAAATTATCCCTGAAAAATATATAAAATTAACTCTTCATCAAAAGAAGTAATGTATATACATATGCTTTGAATGTTATATTATGTTACATCAAAGAATTGTTAGAGTTG